TGACATTCTCAATGATGTATCTACAAAGGAAACCAATACCGTCAACACTACTAAAGAGTATGTGCCAAAACCAGAACCTATTTTCGTCACAGGTGTACTAAATGTATCCTCCCTAAAGGACATACTTAATAAATTTGTAGAAAGTTCTTTGTATACTATGACTACGCTAAGATCGGGGCATGTTATTAAAATAATGCCAAAGGCTATTCAAACATACAAAACTATCAGGGAAAACTACGAGGACTCCATGCTTCAGAAGACACTAATGAATTAGCAAAAGAATTAAAAGAAATAGGGCACACAACCAGACAAATAGTTAACGTACGACACAGAGCTACAAAAGAGCCTCTACCTATATTTTACATAGATCTTGAACCAAACCAAAACAACAAGGACACCTTTAATGTAAAATACCTGAATAACATGAAGATTACCTTTGAAGCTCCGTATAAAAAGAAGGACATTATACAATGCAAACGGTGCCAGAGATTTGGTCACTCGAAAAATCAATGTTTTAGGCCTTTCCGTTGTGTCAAGTGTGGCAGTAATCATCCCACTACAACTTGTACTAAAAAACCTGAAACTGAAGCCACCTGTGCAAACTGTGAAGAGAAACACCCAGCCAGCTACAAAGGATGTAAAACCTATAAACAATATAAAGAACGGATTCTAAAGACTGCTCCTAAAAATAAAGTAAACCAAACTACAGCTAAACCGCAAATTAAAGACTACACACATTATACAAAACCTTACCAACCTAATCCAAATCAAACATATGCGGATGTTACTAGGACAATACCAACATTTCCACAAATAGAAAGAAAAACCGAAATAGACGATATAGCAAGCATAATGGATATTATGCTGGAGAAACTGCAGCATTCCATGATAAAAATGATGGAAAACATGATGGACAAAATGTTGGACCGCATGGTTCAATTAGTCAGCAGCCTAGTTAAAAAATGAACCGTCTTCGAGTTGTAACTTGGAACGCCAACGGCTTGACGGAACGACGCCAGCCAAGAACTCGAAACTTTTCTTCTTACAGAGATGATTGACATAGCATTAATATCTGAAACGAGGTTTACCCCTAAGACACACATCAAATTTGATAATTTCATAATGTACACAACCAATCACCCTTCGGGAAACAGTCATGGTGGTACTGCAGTCCTTATTAAAAATAACCTGAAACATTTTCCTACAGAAGAATATCGTACTGAAAAAATACAAGCAACATCAATAAATCTTGTGTCTAAAAAAGTTGAGACAGTTTTTTCTGCTGTCTACTGTCCGCCAAAACACAACATTACAACTAAAGACTTCAGTGACTACTTTTCTTCGTTGGGCACTAGATTTGTTTGTGGTGGTGATTGGAATTCAAAGCATGTACACTGGGGTTCCAGGCTAATCAATACGAGAGGCAGACAACTCTATAAAGTAATAGAAGAGGCGAAACTGCAATATTTCTCCGGGAGGGACCCTACCTACTGGCCGACTGATAGGGGCAGGGTACCTGATCTTTTGGACTTCTATATTGCAAAGAATGTAGATAGCAATTATGTAAAGATTGATCAGTGCATTGACCTTACATCAGACCATACACCAGTCATCTTAAGCATCGATTCAAATGTAGTGCATGTGGAACTTCCATCTAAAATATATAACCCTAAAACCACAAACTGGGAAACATATAAGCAATAAATTACTTTTGAAACAAAACTAAAAATCCTTATTAGTTCAGCAGAAGAATTGGAAAATGAGATTGAATGCTTTAACATGATTATTCATAACGCCGCTTCCATAGCTACTCCCATCAATAAAAATAAAGGTTTACCTCCTAAAAATAATACCTATCCAAAAGACATCAAAGAAAAAATACTAAAGCGACGCAGACTACGTAAACAATGGCACATAACTGGTTATCCGTCCGATAAAACTGCCTTTAATAAATACTCGGAAGAACTCAAAAATCACATCAACAGTATAGAAAACAACAATTACTCACTGTGGAAAGTAACCAAAAATTTAAAGCGCCCTAAGGTACACATCCCAGCTATCAACAACAACAAAGGAGGATGGGCCAGATCCGACAAGGAGAAGTCAATTGCTTTCGCAGAACATTTATGCTCTGTCTTCCAACCGCATCCGGACTGTGGTCATGAACAGAATGTGAAAGTTAAAGAATATTTTGAGTCAGCAAACCAAATGTGTCTACCCCTCAAATGTACTAGTCCTAAAGAAGTAATAAGGGAAATAAAAAATCTACATGAAGGTAAAGCACCTGGTTATGATGAAATTGATGCAACACTGCTAAAAAACTTGCCATTTAAAGGCATAATGAAATTAGTACACATTTTTAATGCTTGCCTGAGACTGGAACATTTCCCAGGACAGTGGAAAATAGCGCAGGTGGTAATGGTGCCTAAACCAGGAAAACCTCCCCAAGAGACAACATCTTACAGACCTATCAGCCTGCTGTCAGTGGTTGGAAAACTGTTCGAGCGGATATTACTTAATAGAATGAGGGAATTCCTTAACGAAGTAGTGCCTAAACATCAGTTCGGATTTCGCGAGAAGCACGGGACAATCGAACAAGTACACCGCATTGTCGATATTATAGGTGGATGTCTCGAAAACAAATTATACTGCTCTGCAATCTTCCTAGATGTAAGCCAAGCATTCGACAAGGTTTGGCACGAAGGTCTGATGTTCAAACTTAAGCAAATGCTTCCGCACTGTTTTTTCCATATTTTAAATTCTTACCTTAACAAAAGAAGCTACCAGGTGAAATGCAACGATGAGCTTTCTGATCTACATGAAATTAAATCAGGTGTCCCACAAGGCAGCATACTGGGACCCATCTTGTACCTAATATTCACCGCAGATATCCCGACATCTGATAATATAACAACTGCTACATACGCTGATGACACCGCATTGCTAGCTACTCACAGTGACCCAAAAACTGCTTCACTTAACTTGCAAAAACATCTTGGCAAGGTGGAAAAGTGGTTCAAACAATGGAAAATAAAAGCAAATGAAAGCAAATCTACGCACGTTACATTTGCTCTAAGAAAAGAAACTTGTCCCCCTGTAAAATTAAACAATAAAGATATACCACAAGCAGACAATGCAAAATATCTAGGAATGCATCTGGACAGGAGACTCACATGGTAAAAGCATATCTGGACTAAGAGAAAACAACTCGATGGAAAACTCCGCAGTTACAGCTGGCTGATTGGTCGAAAATCACAGCTAAACGACAGCAGCAAAATGCTTATATACAAAGCCATATTGAAACCAATATGGACATACGGCATACAACTATGGGGAACCGCTAGCAATAGTAACATAGACATCCTGGAAAGATTCCAAACTAAAGCATTACGGACAATGTTCGGTATCCCCCAGTGTATCAGCAACAAGTATATTTACTTAGACCTTAAAATAAACACAGTTAGGCAAGAAATAGCCCAGTACAGTACTAACTATCAGTCAAGGCTTGCTATGCATGTAAATGAACTGGCTAAAACACTTAGTGGAGGGGGTGGTATACAACATGCCCGTTTGAAACGACATGACATTCCGACTCTGATCGAAAGATTTACCAGCCAAAAAGAGAGCTCGTAGTAAAGGAATTTTACTACTAGACTTGGCTCTCGTGGAAGTTTAAAATGCCCAGATCTAGGATCAGCCAAAGAAATGGCTTATTGTTATAGAACAGATTGCCATTTAGCAGAGAACCAAGGAAAAAAAAAAATTATTACTATTTAATTTTTTTTTTCAAATTTTAAAAAAAAAAAAGTTAAGATCACAAATTTTTAATAGGTAAACTTTTTTTATATGTATCTTTAGCTGAACACTCCATTTTGATTTTTTTAATTTCATTCACTGTAACTGAAATCCGAGGTTTTCATGAATTTAACGCCTCGGGAACTGGACTAATTATGGAGGATACATATCATGGGTGTAGATGATTATGCCTCCTCTACACGTCGACGGATGCGTCACTACAAGGATCACTACAAGCCTAAATCGTCTGACGACGTCTTAAAGTATTTCATCATCATCATCATCAGCCTATCAATGTCTCCACTGCTGGGGTACAGGCCTTCCCTATGGATGGAATAGGGAGATTGGGATGACCCACCACACTGGCCCAGTGCGGATTGGCGGGTGCTAAAGACTGCAGATGCAGCCGGGACTAACGGCTTAACGTGCCTTCCGAAGCAAGGAGGAACTCGCCATAGAAGATTTTTGGTCACCCATCCAATGACCCACCACTGCGAAAGTTGCTTAACTTCAATGATCGCAGCCGAACGGACGCATGACTGACGCATCAGCCGACGTTTTATACCTACCAAAGATGAGCAAACTATCCTTTCTACACGTAGGAAGACGCATCCGAAGATGGCATCTGCAGATGCATCTGTTGACGTGTAGAGGAGGCATTATATGTATGCAAATATTTATAACTAGCTGTGCCCCGCGGTGTTACCCACGGTTTATTAGAGATATTTTCCCGCAGTAAAACGTAGTCTATGTGTTAATCCAGGGAGTCAGCTAACTCCATACCTAATTTTATTAAAATCGCTCCAGTCGTTTAGACGTCAAGAAGTAACAAACATACACACTCACAAACTTTCGCCTTTATAATATTAGTGTGATTAGCTATTTAAACACCCATACCAATGTGACTCTAATATCACCCACATTCGTTGCATAATTAATTATTGCTAGACAAGTCGTCTTTAATTTAAAATTTGTCACAATGCGGATGTGCAGAGTCGGTCAGTCTATCTTCAACCTCCCTTTTCACCCCCTTAAACTATGTCCTATGTCCTTTCCCGAGACTAAAACTATCTCTATAACAAATTTCATCGAATTGGTTCCGTGGTTTAAGTTCAGAGGGAACAGACAGACACACTTTCATTATTATGGAAATCATGAAAAAGTGTAACATAGATTTTTAAAGAATATGTTACATTTATACTTACATGAAAAAAGCGTATTGCATAGCCATTTGCAAATAGCTGTCCGGACTTAACTTTTGCGTCTTTATAAAATTTTTGCCATACTTTTCGTAAGTAAAACAGTTGAGTTCAAGATTTTCTGCTAATCTGAAAAAAAAAAACAATTAATATAAAAACGAGTTCAAGATCTATTGTCTTCCAAAATACCTCCAAAATTGCAGGATTCTGCTAAATCCTCCTTACTTACTCCTTATAAGAAGTGGTATGTACCCTGGGTTTCAAGGTGTCGCCTGCTCAAATCCCGAATCCCGGTGGGGCAAATGTTTGTATGATGAACACTTTATTCATGGATATTTATTTTAAAATAAGTGCATATTCTTATTTATGTTATCAGTAACCTATTCTATACGTTACCCTAGTATCCTATATCAAAAGTCTAAGGGCGCTTGTTGACCACCACTTTTCCGTCGGGTTATGTCTAGGCATGGTTTTTTAACCGTGTCTATGTCCGGGCGTCATCGTTAGTTAGGTATAAGAGACACTATGCAGCTTTGTAAACGACACCTGCGCTAACGTTTGAGTTCGGTATAAATTATACAAACTTAAAAACAACGTTAATATTTTGTTATACTTGTAATATACTATAATAGAAATTATTGTAAAGTAATTAAATCGAATGTAACGTAATTTTAGTTAATTTAAAGTTATTAATTGGAAACCCAGAGGAAAATCGGTTGTTAACAAGAGTCCTTACAGTGCTTAAATTGGGACTAGGCTATTTAGTGTGAGTGTTAAGAATATTTAATTATTTATTAAATATGTACTTATGGTACTTGTTTGCTATACATATATCGCCAAGTGTACGCCCTGCTAAATGTATATCGTTTCATCACGTAACGTGCTATACTATGTAGCTAGGGTTACCATCCGTCCGGATTAGTCCGGACATGTCTCATTGACTTCTAGACTATGGTCCGGACTTTGTCCGGATTTTTAAATTGTCCGAATTTTTTAAATTGCATTGAATATGAATAATAAAAGTACATGTTGATTTAAATACCATTTTGTGACCACAAAGTCCGGACTTTTTTCGAAATATCATAAGTAGCGCAATGTTATAGGAATAGCGAAGTCTGAACGCGTCTTTAATGTTCTAAAAAACTGACCTGTCTAAACTGGTTTTGGCTGTGTTGATCATGTTATTAACTTCAGAGCTGACATTGAATTGCAAATGTACCGGTTGTTTTGGACTAGCCGAATGCGAACTGCCAGTCTTTCCTTTTTCTCTGAAATATTGAACAAAAGATATTATTAGCATAAAATTGTACTTATTTACTATAAAAAAAATATTCGTACAATAGCGATGATGACTATTTTTTTCTTCGTCTATTAGGTACATTATCAAGAAGTATACACATATTTTTTCTTTATTGACTTCATCAAAACATTACACAGATATTATATTGATTCGAAATGTCGCATGATGTAATGACGTCACGAGCAACCACTCCCAAACTTTGAAGCGTTTTTTCTTTGTCAGTTTGGTTGATTGGCAAAATAAAAAAATATATAGAATTTCGTTTAATTTACCCCGTCATCATCCCTATTACGGCAATATCTTACATATAATTGATAATGTAGTCCGTCAAAACAGCTATAGGTTGGCCTTCGGCTGGAGAATGTTCATAGGTAAGACCAGTCAGACCATCAGCACCAACTATGAACTGGGAAAAAAATGATAGAAAATATATATTTTATCATTAAGAAAACATCACTATTATAAGAACGCAAAAAAGAACTAAATAGCACAAAGAAAAGTTTTCAACACCTTTTTGACTACGAAATTGGATACTAACTTCATTTCTATTCTATCGACGACCTCCGTGGCCGAGTGATTTGTATGCCGGAATGAAGGTGTAGCCTACTCGAGCGGTCCCGGGTTCGTGGGGGCAGATGCCGGTGTAATGAATGCCAGCGAAGTTCGCACCGCCATAAAAAATAGGGGTTGGTGGTAGAAGGGTGAAAATTTAGGGTTGTATGTATTTTTGTATGAAGTATCACATAAAAAAATAAAAATGTCCAAAAAGAAAAGTTTAAGGGTGGAACATTTAATGGGATGAAAAATAGATGTCCGATTCTCAGAGTAGTTCAATTACGCACACCGTGACACGAGAATTTTATATATTAGATACTTATATATGTATGAGTATATGTATTGTATCCGTTACCCTAGCATCGCATACAACAAGCCTACAGTGCTTACTTTGGGGCTACGCTTATTGGTGTGAGTATTGGAAATATTTATTTATTTATTATTAAGAGAGGAGACGGGCAATGATTTTTCCATACAAACGTTCTCGACTGATTCCTCCTTGATTTTTAATAGTTAACAAATGATTTTTATACATGAAATACAATTTTACTTGTTCTATGCTTCTACATTTTTCCTTTTTTCATAACTTGTGTTTCAAGAAACAAGAAACCATCGAAAAAGGCCAAAAATAAACAATTTTTTATCACCACTAAAGACGTCTAGAGTGAAGATTCAATAAGCATTTACAAAAAAAATCAAAACATAGATGCATAGTATAACTACTTATTATTCTTTGTGTAAAATTTCATTTACATATATCTAATTTCGAGAGCCAAACTACGAATTTTGCAAATTTTATACGTAATTTTCAGCGTTAACTACTGATGTCCCTATCGCACGGTATTTGTCAATGCGTGACAGCAATAGTTTTTTCAAATACTTATTTCTCAAAAGTCTCTCAGTTCGTGCCCGCTCTAAAAGGTTGAAACAACCAAGAATAGGGGTTTCATTGTGCTCATCACACCGGAATTTTGGAGAAGGCAAGATCGGTGCCGTTGCATCAACTAGTTATTTCATAAAACTAAGTCTATTCATAATAAGTGAGTCCCCACTGCTAGGCCACAGGTTTTCCTTATAGGTATCTGACGACCTCTGCGGCCGAGTGGTTTGTACGCCGGGTTTCATGGTGTCGCCCACTCGAGAGGTCCCGGCTTCGAATCCCGTGGTGGCAGATGTCTGTGTGATGAATACGAGCATTTGTACTCCAGTCATGGCTATGTTAAATATGTATTTATATATAAATATACTTATATATGTACTGTATATGTATTCTATCCGTTACCCTGGTATCCCATAACACAAGCCTACAGTGCTTACTTTGGGGCTAGGCTATTGGTGTGAGTGTGATCACCTTCAAAGTCATCTTTATAAATAAATATTTATATTTATTTATAAATGTGGATTGACCCGTCACTACCAAAGTAAACTTACGAATTTGAATTACATAAAAACTTCTACGCAAAAATATCGTACATTAATTTGGCAAGTTAACTTTGGGTGTAACCTTTTATAACCGTCATTGATAAATAAATGTGACGGACCGACCACTGCGAAATTTTGCTTAACATCAACGATCACAGCCGAATGCACTAACCACTTGCGCCATCGATCTCCTCAAGTTTCATTTTACCTGTATTGTTTTATCGAACCACCGATTGCCCCCGTTACCCCTTGAAGCACCTCCATGAATGGTTTGAGCGGCAGCCAGATTTTGTTGGGCATTTTTACTAGAACATTTCCAAAGTTCAACAGGTGCATCTAAGCATAGCACAGCCAAACTTTTCTCTATATCAGTTAAACTTTGTTTATTAACAGAGTCTGAAAAGAAAATGGGTTTAACATTATTTCTCTGCACGTCGATTTCAACGAAGAATGTTTATCTGCTAAAGTTCCTAAAACTGGACTGGACTAGACTAGACTCCAATTTCACTTAGGTAACATCAGGTTTTTTTTTTTTTAAATCTTAGGTTATGAATTGAGGTCCGATTAATATCTAATTTCAGTAAAGTAGTTTCTTCTTTTTACGCAAGGTGGCCTAAATTTCCACCTGAGGCCGCCTTTGATACAGCCAGAGGTAGAAACCTGAGCCGGGGGGTAGAGCAAGAAAGATTTAAAAAAAAGAAAAGAAAGATTTAAAAAAAAGAAGGGAAAGAAGGCTTACGAGTTTAGAAAAAGTATAAGAAACGGAAAGTTGTAATTTTTTGTATTGCATGGGATGGTGATAAGCAGGCGGGCCCCGGCCCGACCAGTTAATGCGAGGAGGATCCACTCATCAACTGGCCGAGCCGGGGCTCGCCCCATAATCATAAATAAATAAAATAATATATATATATATCATTACTTCATCAGTGTTCTGCTAAAATTAACTCCTCCGCGAAACCCATCATAAAAACTCACTCGCAACTGAAAAGCTTCAACAGAAATTTCTGTTGAAGTCCTTCAGCCGCGAATAGATCTCCACAATGATTCCCACAAACGAGTCAATGGCTGCAGATCTTGCCATTAGGCTTCTGGGCACAAATGGGTTGACTCTATGGAAGTTGCACAAAGCAACGTGTCTCTGTCTAGCACCCAGAAACCTGTCACACTCTTCAATGAGATGTTTTGGGTCCTGGACTGAACTTTCATCACACGGGCAGATGTCAGTTGAAGAGATGTGAAAACGATGCAGATATGATAAATTGGCGCCATGTCCGGTCAAGTACTGAGTCAGGTAAAAGTTGTAAGGGACCAGGTTGCAGAATTCTTCGGCATCCCGTAGTGTGGGGAAAAGAGAGCCAAAAGCCAAAGTGTTCGCCTTGTGGCGTAGTCTGGTAGCGCTCCTCCCATTGGGAGCGAGTTCGTTGTCTCATGGTGCTTTTGATGAAGGACATTGGGAACGCCTCATATTCTGGGGACTTAGTTAGGGTGGCGGCTTGATTTGCGGCGGCATCAGCCAGTTCGTTACCCAGAATACCCGAATGTCCCTTCACCCAGCAAAACCTAATCGAACGGGAGCAGTCGTGAAATAAATGGTGTATTTGGTTGATTAGGGGTGACGTAGAATTACGTTGTTGTAGGGCAAGCAATGATGACAAAGAGTCTGAACAGATGACTGTGTCAACATATCCAGACTCCACTGCCAATTTACAGGCCTGATAAATGGCAAAAAGTTCCGCCTGAAAAACGGAGCAAGTGTCGTGCAACTTAAACATCCTTGTGTGAACCGGAATGGGGCTGTCAGGGTCGATGCGGACCAATGCTCCACCGACGGCCCCTACCTCCGATTTACTACCATCGGTAAAGATCTGGATAGTATCTGGGGTACAAGTGCCGTCTACCCGAGATTGAGTCGACGCAATGGATTACGGAGGGGATACGCGGTGAGCGGGATGAAGGAGTTTGGAGATTACGACATAATATAACTCTAGTCAGCTCCGCCTCCCTGACCTGGGCTATAACCAAATCTAGGGGCGGGAAGCCAGCCAGAGCTAGAGATGCATTTGTTGAAACCGTGCGGTAAGCGCGAATCGTCCTTATTGCAAACCCACGTTGCAGGGAGGCCAATTTAGTTTGGTTAACGCGAAACTTGGCTGCGTGCCCCCATACCCCTGCGGCGTAGGTTATTGTCGGGACGATTACGTACTTGTAAATCGAAGCAACGATTTCCGGGTGAAGACCCCATGAAGGACGAACAAAGAGGCATAATTTTGCGAAGATCTTTTGGGTTTTCATAATTACGTGACTAACATGCTTACTAAATGTAAGACTGCAATCAATCACGACGCCAAGCAACTTGATGGAGTCACTAAATGGAATGTTGACGCCAAGCATGTTAAGACATATCTTAGACGCTTTCGGGTTGAATGCAATAGCTTAGGTCTTTTCGGGACCGAATACAAGCTTAAAATTAGGTCCCCATTCAGCAATGCTGCTGAGAGCACGGGAAGCATTTGTCTCGAGTGCAGCAGGGTTCTTTGCAGCAGCACTGAGAAACACATCGTCTGCATAAGCCTGGAGACGACATCCAGGGGGTAGCGGTAACTCGAGCAACTCATCCAAGATAAAGTTCCACAAGGCTGGAGCGCAGGCAGAGCCCTGCACGCAGCCTCGTTGAGTAGTGTGATGAGCAGTAGAGCCACCGTGATTAAGGACAACGATTCTAGGTTGTAAGTAGCTGGAGATTAACATGTATATGTTCTTTGGACAGTTTAACATGTATATGTTCTTTGGACAGTTAAGTTTTTTGAGCCTGGTCAAGATAGCAGGCCACCAGGCTTGGTCAAAAGCAGACTGTATATCAAGTGACACAGTCACTGTGGATAGCCCAGACTTTCGACAGTGTTTAATATATGCTATAGCATCAAACAGAGCGTGAGTGGTGGATGTGTCCCTTCGGAACCCATATTGTTTCGGATGTAGTTTGTTGGCTGTCGCGGCGCAATAAAGGGCTCGCTCTGTAAAAAGCTTCTCCAAGACCTTTCCGAACACTGGAATGAGTCCAATAGGGCGGTGGGCCTTGAGAGAAGCGTAATCAGAGCGTCCCAGTTTTGGAATAATTTTTAGAACGGATAGTTTCCAGATGGCTGGAAAGTATGCAAGTTTAAGGCACCTATTCATAATATCAGTAAGGAGTTTAGGGTATTCCTTAGCCACGATCCTACATATGTCTGACGTAAGGCCTTCGTGTCTAGGAGCTTTACTAGGGAGAATCGATGACAGTGCGTCCTAAATCTCTTCCTGGGTGAAACAGGGGTCGTCCGGGGAGTCAGGAGGGACGCGACACGAGGACCGCAGATGTTTCTGCCCTTCAGAGTCAAGTTCAGGTGGATCAGACGAATAGAAATGCCGAAGCAGGGCTTCCGCCGTTTCCTCACTAGATGTTGTAAATTCCCTTCCAGCCGACACAGTAGACGAACCACCAGGTGGAGGTCGAGTTTTTAAAATTGGGTTGGTCAGAGTCCAGATCTGCTCAGGAGATTGTGACTCGAAGAACTGACGGAAGTGATCTGATGAGGCTTGTCGAATAGAATTTGAGTAAATATTTCGAGCCTCATGAAGGCTTGTGTTTTCTAGAAATAGCACGGGATAATTCTCTTTTTTTACGCATTAGATCTACTTTAAGTGATTCCAGGGCTGGAGACCAAAAGGGGGCCCTAGGTCGAGATCCGGTGTAGTCACCCTTAAGAGGGAGAGATCTGTTCGCGGCTTGGTGGATTACCGCAGTGAGCTCCCTTATTAGTTCTTTCAACTCTGGAGCACTCAGAGCAGCGACGTTGTGATTGAGTCAATCAGATTGTGTCATTACGGTAGAAAGCGAGTTTTTGAAATCTAGCCAGTTTGTGTGTCTGTCGGTGGCATATCTAAATGTAGAGTTGCGAGATGGTGATGAGGTGAGAGGGTCAGAAGAAATGCTGTATAAAATAGGTATGTGTTGAGTGGATGAGATACACCCACTATCGGTTCGCCAGTCGTGTATGTACGGGAGAAGCTCGTCAGAGACCATAGTTAGATCAATCGCACTTGTGCGAGAAGTGCCGTGCGTGTGGGTAGCAAAAGTAGGGACTCCAGAATTACAGCAGTGTGAATTATTGCTGTTGAGGAACTCATAGATAATGTCTCCTCTAGAGTTATGCCTCTCAGAAGAGTCCCACAGAGGATGCCAGGCATTAAAGTCTCCAGCTACTATGCATGGGAGGTCCCCGAATTCGTGCAGGAAATGATCCAGGGTCTGAAGTAAAGGCGATGGGTCGTTGCTGGGATGAAGGTAGACGGAGGCAATGAATAGTTGCGTTGAGTCGAGGGTAAGTTTAACAATAGCCAGGTCCGATGAAGAAAACTGTGACATTAAAATTGCACGAGTACTCAGTGCAAACTTATTTTCGATGAGTACAGCCGCTCGAACTACCGAGTTATCAGAAACACGATGAAAATTTGTAATACCAGGTATACTCTTTGTGTGGGCATTTGAACCGACGTAAGGTTCAGAGACAATGGCGATTTGATATCTTTGGTCAAAAAGTATTTTATGTAGCTCAACATATGCTGAGTATGCTCTGTCCACATTACACTGAACATTTTTTAAATTAAGTGGGGGTATACGATGAATGTTTTCCGACTCATCATCATCATCAACAGCCTATCTTAGTCCACTGCTGGACATAGGCCTCTCCAAATGCACGCCACTTAGATCGATCTTGGGCTACTCGCATCCAGCTCCTGCCAGCCACCTTGCACAAATCGTCACTCCATCGCGCCTGAGGACGTCCTACACTACGTTTGCCTAGACGCGGTCTCCACTCCAGAACTCGTCTACCCCAACGGTTATCGGTTCTTCGACAAATATGGCCAGCCCACTGCCACTTGGACAGACATGGTGGCGGCTTCGTACAGACATCTAATCACTTGGATGTATCGCCAGTCGACTTGGCAACGCTGCAGGGACTCCAGAACAGACCAGATTTCAATCGAGTCAAAGGCCTTCTCATAGTCCACAAATGCTAGGCACAGGGGCTGATTGTACTCTTCAGTCTTCTGTATAATCTGCCGCACTGTGTGAATGTGGTCTATGGTGCCGTATCCGCTCCGAAACCCAGCCTGTTCCGGTGGTTGGAAGTCATCAAGTCTTTTAGCATACGACTGCAATGCTCACACACCGCTACAGACGCGCAGCGGGTCTGTACGTGTCCAAATTGGAAACAACGTCTGCATTGCATAAATGGTGAAAAATTTTCACAATGTACACGTCCGAAACCCAATCTGATTTTAATTAGGGAGGTCAGTGCATTCCAAGCTCTAGGTGAAACTGAGAATACGACGTTATATAAATTGGTGTTGCGATTATTTTTTATAAACCTAAAGTTAAGGTCATTGTCCGGAGACAAATCTTTCAGCTCAGGGTTTTGTCGAATGATGGTGGAAGCAATGTCTTCGCACATTATCTCCTTAGAAACGCCTTTAAAAATAACGTTGGGGCGTTTTTTATGCGATCTAAAGCATCCTTTAGATGCTCTTCCTTCTCAAACCCCACTTTGATTTTTCCCTTCGAAAGGTGAATAACTTTAGTCACTGCATATTTGGTGGATTTATAGTCCAACACTTTTTTGATAGAGCGAACAGAATCCTCGCGTGTAGACTTAGGATTGGTGGGGGCAATAATGAGGGCAGGACCAGAAAACGGCCGTGTAGAGGCAGGGGTAGGAGCAATTGAGGATCCTTTCTGAGCAATAGGATTAGACCGAGGTGCGGAAGCAGCAATGTTGGAGTATGTAGGGAATGATGTCGTTCGTGCAGCGCCAACTCCAGATCTAGACGTACTCAAATTAGGTACACCGTCAGCAGGCCCCTCCGAGATGTTACCCCCCCAAGGAAGGGGCCTCCATTCGGAGACAGCCCGTCAGACCTCAGTGCGCACCAATTTAGTTAGTTCCCCGCGTACGTCCCGGTTGATAACTTCCTTCAGTTCACCCACCGCCTCTCTAAATTTCTTACCAAGGTCATTCAAAGAGGAATCGCTCGCTGAAGGAAGAGATGGCTCTTTATGAGAGGGTATTGTCGCATAATTGTGTGCGGAGTCAGGAGTTTCTAGTGGTGGCGAAGAAAAGATTTCCGGGCATTTTTTTTAATTATGGCGTGAATTAACGAAACAGCAGCTTGATAGGCAATAGCCTCCTTCCTCATGGATTTATCTACACTCTTCTTCTGGGTAATGATAGAGGGGATGGATGAAAGACGCTTGTAAGCGCAGGACAGTAAGGTTCCATATGGTGTTTCACTGAGACCTGGTACCATTTCCTCGAATGCTCGAAAAGGGGGCAGTTTAGGAGAGTAGGTCTGTGGGTCGCGTTCAAGTCTTAGACTAAGTCGTCGAGGAGGTGTTGGGGGTGAAATGGTAGGCCGAGACAGAGTTGGAGTAGGTCCCGGTTGGTCACCAGTATCAGAATCAGATATTTTCTCTAGAGCTGACGGCACTGACCGTTGAGACGCAGCTGCGCAAAGTCGTGCTGATGAACGCAATTTCTTAGGTGTTTGTTTAGATTTCACTTGGGTTTGGTTGTCCGTTTTAGAAGAAGCCAAGGTCGTCGTTTGGTGAGTTATCGAGTTGTCCGTTTGAGAGGTAGCTAAAGTCATCGTTTGCAGGGTAACATAAGGGTTTAAATTAGGGTTAGATGGGGTAGTTTGTTGCGCCTCGTGTTAAAAAATCGTGACGTAATAGTCGAGCTTTCTGCAACTTGTGAAAGGTATATGACCCCTCGTGTGTGTAAGTGGATGATTTCTGCCACGAGTTAAGAAAATTATTTTCATACATTTAAATTTAGTAATGGTTTTTAATTTACGCATCGAGTATATAGATAAGTTTGTAGAGAAACTATTCAGGATTGATTTAAGACATAAATGAAGCCTGGGTGTACAGTAGAACTCGAATAATAATAACAGGAAAATCGACCGGAAAACTTTTTTGATTTTCCAGCTGTGAAAAACAAAGTTGATGGCTACACAGGCTAGGGGATAATATGCCTGTACCCCAACAATAAAGAATATAGTGATAATGTTGTCAATGAGACCAGTCGTACAACCACAATAACGTAACTTATCAATACAAGAATGAACTGTAACATTTACTGAACCGTTTTCTTATAAAGAAAAGGGGTGTTGAGTTGAAACCACAGAGAGACTAAATATATCTTTTACTAACCTTTTAACAAAGCGTTGTAAGCCTTCGCCCAAGCATCGCGGTTTTCAGATGTTAATATTCCTACTGCTGCATCTGCGGGTGACTTTGACTTTTCCTGAACTAGCTTGAGCTGCTGTATTATCTGATCTTCATTCAAAATTTGATTATCGTCACCCCATAAATCGACGTGGAAAAACTAGGAAAAGGATTTTTTATAATTACAACTGAAAAACATCACAAGAAGGGCAACCAAAAAAAACGGACATGTGCTGTTCACATGCGATAGAAGTGAAACCTACAAAATTGTAAACACGTAAAAGTCCATCACGACTAGGTACGTCCTAAAGACAACACCTGCGTTAAAATTCAACTCTCTAGGTCAAAATTAAACATTTTACATAATTGTTTCGAAAATGATAGCTTAATAAAAGAAAAAAATTAAAATGTGCGTTATGTTAAGAGACATTATTAAACTAATTACTTTAAATGCAACATTGATATACTATTTAATTTAAGTTATATTTTTCTCAAACAAAAATAAGCTTTATTACTTAGACACCAAGTTTCATAAATGTGCTTGGGATCGCACGCTCCATCTAAGGATTGTTTAACAAACTATTTTAAAGGTTTGATGAAACTAGTTAAAGCACGCATCCTTATATGCTAGTTTTGCTACAAAAGCAATGCCGTAATCGTATAAGAAAATGCTTATCAAACGATATCGACGATGACTCTGTATATAATACAGGAAGAAAAACAGCGTTTGCTGAGTTCCTTGCCAGTTCTACTCAGTACAAGGTCTCCCGCCATAGATTTGCGAACCGATGGCGTAGCTTTTCGACATTCACAAATATTTGTAACAGCCTAGACTAAATAAACGATATTGAATTGAATTTAGTTAATTGAAGCTTTTGTATTAAGGGATTCGGAAAAAAACTATCATAAAATAATCAGCTAGACCCGAGAAGATAAAAAAAGTTAATTTTATAAGTTCACCCGACCGGGGATCGAATCCGTTAGATTGCGAGGCTGATTGATGACAAAAACACTGCCTTGCTTTTGCGATAAATATAAAAATTATGAAAAGACTCTGCAAACGTATAATACGTACACGTATACAAAACACGACCTTTGTTATGAAGAATTTTCTTAAGCTTAGTACCCTCCTAACCGTCCCATGACACTTGAGTGTTATAAAAGTTTTTCCAGTCAAACGTCCGAGGACACATGAGTGTCACTTGTGGGCGGTTCAGTTTTTTGCTCATTAGCACGCTTTAGAAAGCCTCCTTATCGCTGCTTGTGGTCTCTTTAGTTTAGGCAAAATATGTAGATGGCGTTGTGAATAAAAGCAGGGCTCTCTGAATTTTAGATTTTTTTACATCAGTTTGAAGTACGCGCTCCTTGAAAATGGTGACGTCCTGGACGTTTCAACCGAAATGACCCCAATTTTGTAGAAAACACTCCTCTCTCATTATTCAATCTTAAAATGTGATTGATATATCCACATGTTCCTCAAGACTTATCAGTGTCAGTGTTACTACCGTTTGGCTATCCGTCTCTTATGGTCTATGACAAAATTACGGACATCTATCTTGTGTCAAATACTCTACTTCCGTGTCATAGGATCTCAAATCACAATGGTGCTAAAGAAGTTTTCACTTCAAAAACACAAAGTGGACTAATTATATTTTAGAAAATCATATAATGCACCACCGTCTTACTGCTAGACCATATGCATGCATTGGTAGGTCGTTTTTAACTTAAGTTACATTTTGTCTCGAAAATTGTAAAGTTGCGTACGAATAGCGCGTTCCAGGGTACGCGTAGTCGGCTACGCATATCCTGAAACACCTTATAAATACTTATAGCTACGCAGTTCCAAAAGCTGCCACATTTAGTACTCACTATTCTCGTGGTGCATCCAATTCGAGTTACATTTTGTGGCGTGGTGTTTCTTAATGATATTAGGTAGCAATATTTTTATTTCTATTATTGCCAATAATGGAATTATCTTAAAACAGTAATAAGAGTTGATAAAAGTTATAAAAAAATGTGTTACGTTACCAAGTTGCAAAATGTACGCAAAATGTTGTTACTGTACTTACAACAATAAAGCAAAAAAAATCTTACATGGTTATTATGTATGACTGTCACATATTTACTGTCATTATATGATAGTCTATCTCTTTTTTCTGCAGGTACTCTACACGTTCCAAAAACTTTTTTGTACTGTGACATGTCCAAAGGCCTTTTGCCCATCATTTCTAGAGGGATCTTGTTCCTGTGGACAATCAAAATAAGAAAAAGCATTAAAATATTAGGAGTACAAATAAGTTTTCGCCGTTTTAAGAAATATGGTGCTGCACAATTCTTAGGTTAAAATTAAAGTTTATTGAAGCGATGGCTGGTTCATGCGTCATGCTCGTGAACGGGTGCTGCCAACAGAGATGATTCTGCTCTATATTACTTTACTATAGAAATGTTATCTCAATATACCTAATATAAACACTATTTTTATTTATACTGTATCAAACAGCATGTCATCACTTACCCGTCTATTAATGCTTTATAATCAAGTACAGCAAGCAATGTCTTAGCAGCATACTGCAGTTGTTCATATTGTGTCTTAAATTTGCGAAATGGGAAAACTAGTCCAGGGCTTGAAAACACAACTACAGGATCACGATATCCAAGATATGCAGTATTCAACCACCATTCTTCGAGCCAGTTTAAACGCGTTTCTGCCCTTTTCTCAAGTAAGCTCTGCAATAAATAAATATTTTAGCCTTAAAAAAACTCACAACGGTAAAGACCACTTTAAAACATAATAATATAATACTTAAACCTTATATCGACTAGGCAACGATTGACGCGCAACACATGACGCTCAACATGTTTGGCAACGTTGCAAATTGCACAACGGAGCGGAACTTTTAGGCTAAGTTCATATGACCGCGCGGTACAAAGTCAAAGTAAACAGCGCTATTATCGTCTACCATCACCGCACGGTACCTCGCAGTTCAAGTTCTACGAACCTATAACGACCGGCCCTTAGCACGAACCGATATCGAATTCGAATAGTTGACTTTGATCTCGATATGCGTCAAATGTAAATAAGTATTGTATAAAAAATATTTAATTCTCGTTACATCCGTTTTGGCCCTGTTAAAATTTCCATACAAAACTTCATGACATTTGATGCGTATCTAAATCGAATTCAACTATTCGAATTCGATATTGGTTCGTACTAAGGGTATTATTCAGTTAAACTGCGCGAGTTGAGACGGACAGATGCATAGATGAAGAAAAAATGGATAGGGAGGTGACATAATATATGTATACCGATTTGCTTATTGACGAAATTGAAAAAAGAGATATTTCAAATAGTCTCGGTGGCTTTACTCGATTTCATATTGCAAATCCACCTAATGACATCTCCTCCGTAGCGTCATCCCACACTCTGACGGGGACGGATTTTCCTTTATTATCAATAGACTTTTAACTATTTTAAGTGAATACATATAAAAAAAACTCACTTGAAGCTTCTTACCCTCTTCTGCTTCGAATATTTTCACAAGTTTGATTGTGTTAGCAAATTCATCTTCGTTTAAATGAGGTCTGACCGTTTTTAAATATTTTTGTAACGTATCACTAAGTTGTGGTACCGGTAGTCTTGGTAAATTTTGAATGTTTGAATTGGTATCTGGCTGCGCAGAAGTGTAATTAGAAACCAACTCGTAAGAACTTGCATACGGTTTCAAAATAGATCCCTTGGAAATAACCTAAAAGAGAATAAAGATAAGAAAAGTTCAGAAATTTACGTCTGGTACCGTGTAATAAAACCAATGACTAACAAAATAACTTCACTTAAAAAAAGGTAAATTTAAAAAATCAAACAACCCGACTGCTTAATTATACTTCAAATAAAAACTGAAAAGAAAAAAAACAAGTCCAGTAGTCTATAATTCTGTTAATAAGGAACAAAGCTACTTTAACAGTCGGGACCCATTAGATATTCAAGAATACATAATATTTTTCAATAATGGGTCCCGACTGTTAAAGTAGCTTTGTTCCTTATTAACAGAATTATAGACTACTGGACTTGTTTTTTTTCTTTTCAGTTTTTATTTGAAGTATAATTAAGCAGACGGGTTGTTTGATTTTTTAAATTTACCTTTTTTATTTCACACTTTTTTTAAATCTTTTTCATCAATTAAATACTTATCTTATCCTAACTATCTATACTAATATTATAAAGAGGCAAGATTTGTATGTTTGTAACAAACAATCTGTCAAACTACTGAATCGGTTTCAAATATTAATTCATCATAAGGTAGCTACATTATTTATTATAACATTTTTCTTAATTTAAATACATTTTGTCCGAGTGACATAGGCTATATTTTATCCCGATAAATAAATTTCGCCCGGACAATGCCCGGGTGGATCACTAGTAAGTATAATATAATATTATAGATGCGAAAGTGAGTTTGTTTGTTGCGCTTCCGTGCCCTAATAGCTAAATCGAATATAATGAATTCCCATATAGAAGTAGATGGGAACTTGGTTCTTAGCTACAACATCGCAATACTTATAGGCGTAGGGTGATGAAAGGGGTGATTTACCTATAAAAATTTACATTATTTACTTTGAATTTTGCAGAATTATTACAAAACCAATATTATCGCGAGCTGATTAATAAATACAGGGATTCCAATAAGTATGTACTTACTAGCGAAAAATGGGTTATTTGTCATTATATTAAGTAAACCTTTTTTGTAACCTTAAGTAATATCATTAAAAAAAATGAAAATCAGTAAAATTCTGAGTTTTTCATTAAAATTCAATAATCATAAATACCTATTATGATAATATATTTTTCATCATTTAATAAGAAGGAACTGTATCTCAGTTTTAATGTTAGTACTTCGTATAGGATCGGATACTGCGAATACCCCATTTTTTTTCTTTTACATAGTACACCGCGCTATCACTTTGTCATCGTTGTAACTTTTTAAATATTTGTCGAAATGACATAGTGTAAAAAGCAAAGTTTATCGTCTTTAAATATCAAAAGCGATTGAAGTATTTTTTTTGATAAAAAATGATTTGTTAATACAAAATGTGCATTTTGGAAATAGATATCAAATAATATTTTAGTTTTGATTCACTATTTTAGCGGTAATGACTTACACATTAAAAATAGATACATGGTGTCACGGACTTTTTTTCAGAACTATTTAAGAGATACATTTTCACTTTACATTACATTCATGTAGCTTTTATTGTTTTTGCAGTGCAGCCCAAAATGGCTCGCAGATGGGACATTTTTTCCGTCTTATGTGACACTTATTGCTATATATTGGCCAATTCACTCAATAACTACATAAATTATTATATATATGTAATTATCATATATGAGCTATATTACTGTTAAGTTTCATTAAAATCCATTCAGTATTGTTTAGGTGAAAGAGTAACAAAGATCCATAGAAACGTAAGATTGAAATTAAAAGCGTAAGTGGTTAATATACAACTTTAAAGCGTTGTAGATCCTAAACAATCATATAGAATGAAAAATGGTGTAATAAACCTAAATATGATTTTTGATTATCTAGACAGTGATACCCCACTCGACATATTTTGTCAACTTTCTTTTTTTACTTCGTCACAATATGGCGCCTAATTTTGCCCATATTGAATTTTGATTACTATCATATCTTTAGTAGCACTCCCATGATTGAGACGAATCGATTGATGTATGAATCATCAAAATCGGTCCAGGCGTTTGGTCTCTAGTGTGCCACAAAGGAACAAACATACATATATAGACTGTTAAACACATAACCCTGTCTGCGCGTCGCGCTTCGCGCTCTTGCATTGCGCAGCCGGGTAAAAAATAAATACTTAAATATAGGGTGAAATTGAATGTTTTAATGAAACTTCGTGAGATTGTTGGGTTACGAGTATAGAGTATGCCTGATTTTTTTCGGATTTTTTGAAGTATTTTTTTTCATGTATTTATTTATAATTTGTGTATTTTTTTGTCCTTTCCTCCTTTTGAGTAGTTATTCATATTAAACAAACATGCTTACATATCCAGTGAAAAACAACTAATAAATAAACATTTCTAAAAAACAGAAAAACAGTAAAATTCCACCGCGGGTCAATGACCGACCGCGCCCGCCAGCCGTTGAGTGAGTAGGTACGTACACAGAGCTCAGCTGACTCGTTTGATTCCACACAATACAATAAAATCGTCTTAGATGCCTTTATTTAAAATTAAAATAATAAGCACAAATGTCATCTTCTCTTAAGCAGAGAAAAACTTAAAAAGTTAATAATAATTTAGTCACGATTGGAAATAGGCAAAAGTTAAACAAAAAGAAATACTTATTGCAGTTCAATACTTGGGTCAGAATGAAATTTATTACCAGGTATTCAAAAGTACTTACGAGACCGATGTACCTATTAATTTTTTTCTCTATAACTTCCCAATAAATCACCAAACCTACTTTCGTAAAGCCTTGTGGCTCTGCTGAGTATTCCGTGACACTCGCAATAACAACACACCATATCCAAATTCTTATATTGAGGGCACAGAACAAGAACTAATCAAGGCATTATTTGCAAATCTTGTCTTGTCACAAATTTAAAAGATACGCACGCGCGCTTGTGACTCCGCTCGGTCACTGCGCTGTGCACCGCGCATACCTAGATAGGTAGGCAGGAAGGTATTCAACGGCGGGAGCGGTCATTGCTCCTGGCCGCCCGTCTCCTGTTTTTACGTCTTTTTTAGTAGTGCTTATTACTTGTTTTTTACTTACTCTGTATGCATGTTTTAAAAGAATAATTATTTAGTACCCAAAAGGAGGAAAGGACTTAAAATATAACAAAAAAAAACAAAATTTTATTTTAAATCATTTTTTAAAAAATCCGAAAAAAATCAGAGATACTCTATATACTTAACCCAACATTCCCACGAAGTTTCATTCAAACATTCAATTTCACCCTGTATATAACATAACAATATTATTTTTTTCTAACCATTTTACACCCTACACGTAACATTGTTGGTACCTGAAACAAACAAATTTTTTATAATAGCTATCCATACAAATGCGCAAAGTGCGTCTGTCTGTACACACTTTGAACTTCTAAATTGGTTCAATGAACCAATTTAGATGAAATTTGGTATAGAGATAGTTTGAATCTCGGGGAAAAATTAACTTTTAACTATTAACTTGCATTTCGATCAACTTGTGATTCATTGAAAAAAAAAAAAGAAAAATACTGTTTTTGGTAATATTAAGTGACTGGTCAATTCTTTATCCGGCCGATATAAACCACTGCTTTTCCAATACCTCCCTTATTAATAAACGGGGAATAAACTTAGACTAGTTACTGGGTGTTTTGTTCATGTCACTCAAATGCCATTTGTCATTAATTGAACAGACACCAAACATGGAGTAACTAATTCAAGCTTATTCTTTATTTATTAATATAGGTGATAAGGTGTTTAACAATAGTGAGTATTAACTTCGTTGGCACCTCTTGCAGCCTACCAGGAAGGTTTTCCAACATTTTTTAGATTCCTGATTAAGGTATGCCGTGCTACTCTTCAACCGTAGCATTTTTGATCTTTCTTTCAGTGTTGAGTACAGAAGTTCGTGGTCAATAGCTTTTTATGTTTATCCAAGCTGTGTTTAAAAGGATTAAAGTCTGAATTGCACCTGGCCACTATAATTTTGTGATGCTGGTCATCAAGTAGTAGAGTAACACTTCTGACGACTTGCGCCCTTACGTCCCACATTCTTTATACACTGGAGCCTCGTCACTAAACCGCATTGGTCACACCGGACAGACTATTTATAGCCGTCTTATGCGACCCTAATAAACGATCGATCATGTTTCACTTGCGTAAGTCATCATTGGTAAGTGGAGCTGGAGTCGACAAGAGATTTCTTTTTCAAAGTTGGATTTATCTAATTAGACTCTTTTGTCTGGTATACATAGTGGTCAACAACTTCGAATGAAGATTTCCCAATTTTAACTAGACCGAGCACTGTATGGACATCTGACATGATTTTTGTCTTATCTATGTTCGTTTCAAGACGCACTTTTTGGGAAGCACTACTAAGATCTACGAGCATTGTGCTCAGATCTTACAAGGTCGCAACGTGTGTAGGGTACTCGAAATTAAAGTGGATGCTTCGTCCTTTCTCTCACCCCAGAAGCTTGAAAATATACTCCAACGCAGCTGTGAACGGCAGTGCGGGCTATTGTTTCATGCCCAAGTATTGTAATAGTTGTATAAGATGCAAGTGCAGTCCTCCATGGAATATCGCTGCAACCTTTACTATGGCTCCGCCAAGAATTAATTTGATGCTTTGAATAGGTTACAGCGGCGAGCGACGCGCTTCATCGGCTATGTGGAGGTAACTAAACACCTCGAGTTTTTACAATTACTCCGTGATGGAGCGTCTTAAGCGCTGTCTATCTTCTATACCACGGCGAGAGTTCTGGGGAGATTATCTCACCTATCCCACTTTCTCCCTTTCATTTAGACGACCACGCGCGCTGGCCTCTCTTGTCACCAGATTATTATGGATACTTTTCCGACGCGAAAAATGGAATTTAGTGACTCATTGAGGTTTAAAGAATTTATTCTCATAAAAACATACATTTCTTTGTCACTCTATCCGCAAATGTCCGCAATACCCTCACTCCTACTACACGAAATCCTATAAAAGGGGCGTGAAAAAGCATCTTGCAGGCCGAAAACTCTTCACGAGGCACGAGTGATCGAAGTATATAAAGACCGGCCCCACATGTGGGATAAAAAAAAACAAACATTATTTATATATTTTGTTAATTAATTTTCATTTTTTAAGTATGTGACTGCTCGATGTTTAAATCTAAAGAAAATATTACTAGAAAAATAGAAATAGTTTTTTTATTTTTTTTTCTTGTTATATTTTCTTTAGATTAAAACATTGAGCAGTTACATGCTCAAAAAATTAAAATTATGACTTTAATTGCTATTTCTTCTTTTAAATGTTTAATACTTGTAAAGGTATTTATTCATTTGACATTGTGGGTTACATATGATGCGAAGAGATGGCGCTGCCTTGCAGCTTAAGAAAGGCTAGAAAGAATACGATACGGCTGTCAGGGCCGCGGTAGCATAATTGATCAGTGCATTCGCCCGGATAGCGAAGGGTGTGGGTTCGAGTCCCGTCTGCTGCCAGGTCCGCGTGGATTTTTTTCTAATCATAAACATTACTTATTTTATTTACAATACATTTTTTCTGTTGCCAATTCTACACCCAGTATTTCCTTTTTTACGGTAACATATTTTTTCATAACATTGGGACCATCATCAACGCGTGTGTTTAGCTCAATATACGCCCGAACACTGACCTGAATACGCAGGCATGTGTATAATAGACCAGGGTCGATAATTTTAAAAATGGTGAAAAATGAAAAAAAATTATAGTAGGATGAAACCCATTGGAAAAGGTAGGGAATATAACAAAAGTTAAAGGAAAAACAAATTACGGGCGATCTGAGGTCGGGAAGGGGGAGGGGGTGAGTGTTTAAGGGTAAAAACCGGTTAATCTCGATTTCCGGGAAAACTGAAAGTCCTATGAAAAAAAGTTAAATGGCAAAGTTGTAGGTAATAAAAAGATCTACAACTTTTGTATCGACACTTTTTTCACATAACCTCAAAATTTATGTGAAAAATTCGAATAACCGAGTTTTTGGATTTTTATTTTTATTTTATGCAATATTAAATCATTGACGAAAACATGAATCAACTCATCCATCGTTAATATATACTGGTGTCGATTCTGGCACGATTCTCTAAATCTAAACTTAAACTTGAGAACAGTGTTTCCTTGTCATTCTCTATACAGAATGAAAAAGAGGGGCTGATGTTAAATTTAGTTTTAAGTTTAGAGAATCACGCCAGAATCGACACCATTGTTTACCTACTTCTTTATTTACTAATTATTTATGAAGGCAGTAAACAATATCTTGAGGTAACAATAATTGGCAAAGACATACGACAACACAATAAATAATAGGTAAAAAAAGTGGAAATAATAAAATTGATATGCCAAGATCCATAGATATTTATATATATATAGAATAGCATTTTTTGCCATCAGTAGATATTTTCAATAGATATCTCTACTTTCGATATTATCTCGAAGCCGATATAATATCTACGCCGCGAGAATTGGGGCCCTGGTCTATAAAGACAAGCCGATATTGGGCCGAACGCCCGTGCACCCTAGATTGTCCCTGCTGCGGCAGGCATGTCAGTAGCGCGTTTAAAGTAATACTAAACCATAGATGAATGATTGGTCTCGCTTTACTCGACTAGATACCGCGCTGTCAACAAACTTAACTCCTTAAATGCGGCAACTCATTATTGTAGTGTGTGTATGTCAATTTGCAATAATGCTATCAAATGTCATAGATCGTGTAGCCAACTGCTCAACTGCTACCCAAGTAATAGGGAAAATATTGTACGTTATAATTAATATGTACCAGTTTATAAATGTAGCTCATAAAATACTTGAAGATGTACTTAATGAAATGGGAATATATCGATATTTTTGTGTACATAAACGATTAGGCGTAGGTTTCTTCTTTAAAAAATGCTTAGGCCTCAATTTATTTTTTTTACATGTAATATTTACTTGTACATTATAACAGTGATTCAAGTGTGATAAGTTGGTCACTATAAACGAGACATTATTGTTGAATGAACATGAACTTCGTCGTGGGTTTATGATCGTGAATTATAGAACCCTCATACTGTAAACATTAAAAATATGTATATTTCACATATTGTATTATGCTTATTCAGTCCCCACAATATATAAATATGTATTGTATGTGTGTGTACCTGAATGTATATATGTATGTATATATGGGTAATGGAAAAAAAATATTAGATTCTTAATGTACACCTATATTTTCCCCTGAGAACAGAACAGATAAGGTCTATATTATTATAATTTTGGAGTTTTCTTACACTATGTTAGTAACTGTCAGCATCTCGTATTTTCTTTTGTAATCACGTCTGTTCGTTTTAAAACCTTATTGTAATCTGTGGATAGTCGTAATTGGCTTTCAAATTATATATCATTGATTGTAATTCCAATATACATATAAGCTGTGTACTGTCCCTTAAATAAAAAAATAAAAAAAATAAACTCGGTAAGGAAGCTGAGTGTGTAATGATCAATGCACACGAGCTGCATACGACGTTTTTCAACACAATTGCGACGAAAAAACAAACTTCTAGTTAGTAACTATTATAATCTTTCAACTGACCTTTGCAGCTTTGTTGTCAAGTATTTTGACAATACGGAGCTACCTTCAAAAACTTTTCAAAATCGGTTGGTGACAAAACTTTTGACTTTCGGCCAATATATCCCTAAGAACGTCGCTTTAGAAATGTCGTCAAGTTACTATATATTCATAAATCAACTGGCAGCAACAGCCTATCACTCGCGTTTCGTGCCTCGATAAGTATTTCCGGCGGAGTTGAATTAAAATTGCGCAAATATTATTTATTAATGCGCTCACAGGTTCAATAACGGCACAGGAATTATTTTTATAAAAATAGAACCGATTTCAAAAATACTGAAAATGTAAAATAAGATTTACCGTGAAGTCGATCGTTATTATTATCATGATCTCAGTGCTAAACACATACCTTGGTATCGACTTCAAGTATAACAGGCGGTAAATCTATTTTTATTAAGTCGGTTTTATTTTTATTAAAAATTATTTCGTTTTCCCATTTTTAGTGTTACACAGAATACGCTACTAGTTGGAAATTGTACAAGCGTAGATCCACACGGGTAAAACCGTGAGACATTGCTAATAAAATTATATACTAAAACCCTCTCAGAAATGCTTATTTACGCATTAATATGCGCGAAAGCCCCGATCCGTAGCTTTGAGATTTTCATGGTCAAACATGCTTAAATACAGATCAAACTGAGAATATCCTTTTTGAAGTCTGTTTAAAGACCGACTGTGCAGCCGGAACAGCA